GAAGTTTTTGTTTTCAAATGCTCCTGATAATGGTTCTCTTTAATCAAAGTCTGGAGCATAAACGCAGAACACACTAGAAAATATGGAATTTTTTTTTCCCCTTAACGGAGGCACTGGGGATTGAACTTGGTTCCACGTGCACGCCAAGCATGCCCTCTACCACTGAGCTATACCTACCCACCCACCCCCAAAACATGGGTTTTTAATACACTGTCCTGTGCCAGAGCATACGGATTGCTCTGGAAGAACAGTTTGACCTAATTTGAATCTGAATACTTTGGAAGAAAAGAAAAAGGTTATAAAGACATCTGTGAATCCCTTCTCTACATATTATGATATACATTCTCCAACAGTCACTATAACAACAGCTTATGAAACCAGCATCAGGACCAGATAGTGAAAACAGAAATGCATGTCAGTTGATTTGAAGTGTATTTGGGCATAATGAGTGCCAAATAGGAAAATACCATCAAGTGTATTATCTGAGATCTTTTTAGGAAAGTCTCAAGTTTTCTAAAAATATTACTGAAGAGAAGGAGAAGAGAGTGAACTATGGGGTTTATTAGATTTAATTTGTTACAAGAGCCTTGGAAGACTTAAATTAAGCTCTTGAAGTATATATAATGGTGTCCACCATAGAGGCTGAAGAGATTTTGACTAATGTCTCAAAGAACCCAGCATCAGAAGAATGGAGGGGAGCAGCAAGAAAGCAGAGGGAACATGACAGGAAAGGGGCAGTGAGTCTCCTGTGGTGAGACAGAAACCCAATGTGAGGGACCTGGGAAATGTCAATTACCATCTGGCTGAGAAACCTCTTACCGTCCGAAGCTTTGAAAAGGAATGTAAACCATAAAGGCCAATTAAGAGACAGTGAGTTGTCATATAGTCAGTTGAAAGCAAATTGGACTGAAATGAAATAAGCCCACATTGTACAAAGTTAATCTTGAGGAGAATCAGTAAACAGGCTCACATGCAGAAAAAGGCTATATAAAGTGACACATTAAGGTTAAGTTAAAGTGACCCTGAACATTTTCTCCTGGCCACTCCAGTTGGCTGGTGATAGGGAGATGAATTCAGGGGGCGGGAAGTGGTACAGGGGATGGGCAGTATAGGAGTCAGACTGGAGGACTGAGGAGGAGTGTCTAGAATGTTACGTGTCAAGTTGGAGGGGCTGGCATTTCCATCTGTGTCCAATTGGTTGAACAGCATTGAGAGTTTTCTGTTCCAGGGTTCTGCAAGGGGGTGAATTGTCCTCCAGAATTCACAGTCCTAACTTCCGGTGCCTCAGAATGTGACCCTACTTGCAAGTAAGACTGTTGAAATGCTATTAGTTAACATAAGTAGGGTAGGCTCCAATCCTATACGACTAGTATCTTCATAGAAGGGGAAGATTGGGACAGGAAACACGCACATAGGGAGACGCCATGTGGAGACTGGAACTGTGCTGTCAGAAGCTGGGAGAGAGGCCTGTAACAGACCTTTCCCTTGAGCCTTCAGAGGGAGCACAGCCCTGCTGATACCTTTCCCTTGGATTTCTGGCCCCCAGAACAGTGAAACAATAAATTTTGTTGTTGTGGCTAGCTTGTGGTATTTGTCAGGTCAGACGTTGGAAATGCATGGGCTCTAATGGAGTTTCCTCCGTGAGCCTTGGTCTGGCTCATCTGCGCCTATGAACGGGGCCAGAAGAGAACAGGGGTCTGGAGCAAAGGCACACTGGCCGGGGAGCTTGCGGGCGGCACAGGAGAACATGACTCATTAGCAGAATGCTAGTTTGGGGCAGAGTTTCAAAAAGGCTGTGTGTGATGGGCTTCAGCTACGTAGTAAGTGTGGAAGGCTCTTCTGTTGCTAAAGCCTGGGACGAGAAGCAATGGGTGGGCTTTTCTGGGGGACAGCCCCACCGTGCACAGGATGCCTCAGAGATGTTGAATGAGCAGGGATGGTGAGAATAAATCCTGTGGATGGGTTTCTGGAGTGTCTGAAGTATCTTAATTTATTATTTATTTACTTCAATGAAGATCCAAGAGTATGACAAAGAGGTTTCACAATTACTCACCAAAGCCAAGGCAGGTGATGACAGGGACTGGATAGAGAGGGAAGGATATTTAAATGTATGTCTTAAATGTGTCCGTTGCCCCTATTTTTGCAAGTTTGATATTATTTGGAGTGTGACCTCAGATTTACTTTGAGACCCATTTTTCCCCCTTTCAGATAGGTTTCTCATCTCATTTACTTCAGTTTCCACCTGTAAGACTGAGTGATGGGGTTTGGTTATGGTCAGGGAAGCGCTGTTACCTTTTGCTAGAGTCTGATTAATTGCTGGGATTTCATACTTTCTGCTGTTGTGGAGAGAATCTTAGGATTTCCTTGTAAAATTAAACCTTTGCCTATAAAACATGGTCTTTTATTATCATTTCATGGATACCTTAGCACATACGCTAAGATGTCAGAGAAATAGTGTAAAGAAAAAGTACTAAACAATCACAAAATAAAGTCAGAGTATGTTATTTCTTAGGGTGAATGATACAGTGCCACATTTCAGCATGGCTACAAAAATTCAAGCTTACGTGCAAAAGATAAGAAGTAAAGAAATGGGTGATTGGACGATTAACTCGAGAATGAAATATGTGAGTCTAGTTTAGGAGTCTTGACAGATTGGAATGTTACACGTATTGAAGCTCATGATAAAAGAGAGAAAAAAAGATCAAATGGAACTCCTTCCCCAGAGATGGAAAAAATCAGTCAATAGGATGAAGATTAAAGAACTCAGAATAAAGACCCGTTGAAACTAAACAAGAAAAAAGACCATGTAGCATACATCAAACTTAATACTGAATTTTTAAACATGGTTGTTAGTCATTTTATTCCTATCTGTGTATTTTCACTAAATTTAAAGAGATGATCAAGATACTAAGCATTTGCAGCATAAACTTCAGTGTCTGTTTTTAATCCCTACATGACAAGGCACAGCCTTAAGCATTGTGACTTTGTGTCTCCCTAGTATGCAGGTGAAGGGGAGGAGGTTAAAAGACTTCCCGCTTGCCTATAGGTCATTAGGAGGCCCAGTGATAGACTAGTCAGAATTTGTCTTCCTTCCCTGGCAGCTAATGTCTCTTCCACCTTCCATTTGATAGCCACAGGTGTGCCTTTTGTTGAGAAAATAATGTTGAAACCTGCAAACCACAC